TTCCTAAGCAATTCTTTTAATCAGTTGCTATACAAATTTATTGTTAATAAAACTTTTTTGAGATATACTTCACATAACATAAAATTCAGTTGCTATACAAATTTATTGTTAATAAAACTTTTTTGAGATATACTTCACATAACATAAAATTCATCCTTTTAAAGTGTACTATTCAGTACTTGTCAGTAAATTCACTACTGTGCGACCATCACATCATCCTAAAAGAAACCCTGAATCCTGTGCCTATTAGTAATTAATTCTTATTTTCCTCTACATTCATCCCCTGACAACCACTGATCTACTGCCTGTCTTTATGGATTTACCTATTCCAGACAATTCATATGAATGAAACCAGACAGTATTTGTCCTTCTCTGACTGGTTCCTTTTAAATTAGCATTAGTATTTTCAAGATTCATCCATGTCATAGCATGTGCCTGAATTTTATTCCTTTTCATGACTGTATATTCCATTATATAGACTTACACACTTTATTTTACATTTATATCTGATTTCATGCATTTGAAAAACTTTGTGCCACCTAGGGACCTCTGATATATGACCAAACCATAGCAACCCCCACTGGGTTTCCAAGGTTGTAAATCTTTATGAAAGAAGGTTGTACTGCCTTCCTTCTGCAGAGCAGTTAGTGAGTTTGAACCACTGGACATCTGGTTAGCAGCCAAACGCCTTACCTACTACACCACCAGAGCTCTTTTTGGTATATGGCAGTTACCCTCAAATAGCTACCATCTTCATCCTACAGCTTTCCTTTTCTTCATTCCTATGTTTGATCTCGGTCTCCTAGATCCTATATCCCCTTTCTTCATTAGTCCCTATTTTAGTAAAGCACATCCTTCAAGAGTACTCAGAAAAGAAGGCATGTTTTTAAAACCAGCATGTCTTAAAATTTCTTTCTTCTCATTTACTTTGATTATTTCTATTCTCCTTCTCATTTTTTCCCCCTACTTTTCTTGGAGGCTTTCTCAATTTTTCTCCAAGTGTAATGAATTTTTTTAAACATATTTTAATTTGCTAGAACTTTTGCTCTCTAAATTGTTCCTTTTTGTAGCATTCTGTTTTTCTTAATGGACATGGTATCTAAAAGTTCATTAATGATACACAGAAGGTAAATTAAAAGTTTTCTTCTCTTTACGTAACCCCTATTTCTGTAGTTACTTTTTCTTTATCATTTTAGTGTTAATAGCCCTTTCATGTTATTCTTTTCTTCAGATGAAGATAGTAGCTATTTCAGGGTAACTTTCATTTACCAAAGGTCCCTCCGGGTGGCGTAAACAGTTTGCACTCAACAACTAACCTAAAAACTTGGTGATTTGAACATACCCACCTATGCCATGATTCCATAAAGATCACAACCAAGAAAACTCTATGAAACAGTTCTACTTTGTAACACATGGGGTTATCAAGTAAGAAACAACTCAACAGCAATGGGGTTTTTTGGTCATATGCCAAGAAGATGAAATTTATAATCATCTAATATATCTGATAATGAGAGATTTAAACATCCAAAAGGGAGTCTAAATTTAGTGTTAAGTGTACAGAAAATTAAATAAACAAAATTATTATTTTGAAACAGTTGAGAAGGAAAGGAAAAGTAGTTGTAGCACACTACGTGTGAAAGCTGGACAATGAAAAATGAAACCATAGAACTGATACATATGAATTATGGTGTCAGCAAAGAAAAGGATAGCAAAGAATACTGAATATACCATAAATTTCCAGAAGAATGAACAAATTTGTCTTAGAAAAAGTATACCCAGAATGTTCCTTAGAAACAACGATGGTGAGACTTTGTCTCACATAACTTTAGTCCTATTATCAGGAGGGACTAGTTCTTGGACAAAGACATCATGCTTGGTAAAGGAGAGGGTCAGCAATACAGACTGACACAATGGTTCTGGCAATGGGCTCAAAAACAGCAACAATTGCTAAGGATGGCACAGGACATACGGCCACTGTAAATTGGAATCAACTTGATAGAACCTAACAACAACATCACTTAGCTGCAAAGAGCTTTTACATAGTGAAAAACAATAAAAAATATGGATCTAAAAATTACAAAACAACTTCACAGGGGCAAGGAAGGATCAAAAGGATGTGTGTGTGAGAGAGTGAAGGTAAGAGTAGGAAGAGTACTTCTTATAGCAGGAAATTGACAGAAAATGCCTAAAACTGAAAAATCAAGAACCACAACATAGGCATGTTATTTAGAAATATGGAGGTAAATATTAAAAGGACCCATTAATAGCTGAAAATGGTTACATGGGGGCAGGTAGGGATGCCTATTCTATATAACATGGCTTATATTTGACTATTTTAAGTTTTGTGTATGTACAATCAGAGCTTGTACTCATTCTGTTGGAAAAGGCTGGGGCTACAAAAAAAGACCTAGAGGGAAGAACCCTTAAAGAGAAGACACGAACACTTTTTACTTCAGAAAAAAACCTTAAAAATATGCATCTCTTCTGTAAGGGCTGGGAAAGGCTTCTAAGTGATTTAGTGTTTTCCAGCAAGAATAATGGTTAAAGTGAATTTCATTCTGTAAACTTTCACCCAAATCACAATAAAAATTTTTTAAATAAGTGAATTTCAGTCAATAATTTTTCTGTATTTTCCCCAGCTTGTTTACTCATTGTTCACTGAGTTATCAACAATTTTTCTGTGGGAAGAAAATAATTATCTAGTATAGCCACTGCAGCTGAGTCAATTCTGACCACTGGTTACAGAGTAGAAGCACTTCATAGGGTGTATCTTGGCTAACAGAAGCAGATCACTAGGCCTTTCTTCCACAGTATTTCTGGATAGGTTCAAACTACCAATGTTTGGAATAGTAAAGTGCACAAACCACTAATGCCAAAGATGAAGAAACTGAAGATTTCACCAACTTCTGCAATCTGAAATCAACGAAACATACAATGAATCCTCCATGAGTGTGGCTATATGAAGAATGTGACATCAGGATAGGACTAAGGGTCATTAACAACCTTGCTTACTGAAAGAGGCCTTAAAGCATTTCCTGATGAAGATCAAAGAGACTACAGTTTTCAGTATGGATTATACCTCAACATAAAGAAAACAAAAATCCTCCCAACTCTATCAATAAGCAACATTATGATATAAGGAGAAAGTACCAAAGTTGTCAAGGATTTCATCTTACTTGATCTACAATCGACAACCATAGAAGCAGCAATCAAAAAATCAAACGACAGTGCATTGGGCAAATCTATTGCTGAACAGCTCTTTAAAGTGTTAAAAACCAAAGATGGCACTTTGAGGACTGAGGTGCACCTGACCAAAGCTACAATATGTTCAATCGCCTTGTATGCATGCAAATGCCAGACAATGAATAAGGAAAACCTAAGAAATGATATATTTGAATGGTGGTGCTGACAAAGAATATTGAATATATACCATGGACTGCCAGAGGAATGAACAAATCTGTCTAGAAGAAGCACAGCCCAAATGCTCCTTAGAAATGAGGATTGGCCAGACTCTGTCTTGCTTACTCTGAACATGTGATCTGGAGGAACCAATCCCTAGAGATGGATATCATGTTTGGTAAACTGAGGGTCAGTGAAAAGAGCAAGACCCTCAATGAGATGAACTGACACAGTGGCCACAACAAGTGAACTCAAACACACTATTGTATGTCATACCTACTATTGTGAGGATGGCACAGGACCCAAGAAATGTTTCATTCTGTTACACATGGGGTCACTATGAGTCAAAACCAACTTGAGAGCACCTAACAACAAATCAAGTGCAAACTTTCTGCACCACCCGAAGACCTTTCAGGAGCCACAGTGGTGTGGTGGTAAAGCACTCAGATCCCCAAAATCTGGGAGTTTGAACTCACCAGCCTCTGCAGGAGAAAGATATGGCAGTCTGCTTCTGTAAAGATTACAACCTTTGAAACCCAATGAGGCAGTTCTACTTTTTCATATAGGGTCAATATAACTTGGAATTGACTCAACAGCAACAGGTAGAGATCTTTTAATTCTTGTAGTCCTAGTTTTTTATTCTGTGGCTATTGAATATTGAAATATTAAAGATCCTTTGTCATTTAACTGTTTCTAACATTTTAGAAACACTAGTCAAAAGTCCTAAAACAATGGCTGAAAATCGTGTCATAAATTCAGTAAGTGAATCTTAAAGTGCACTGATTCTATCCATCCCATCATCACATCAATAGATGTAGAAAAGGCATTTGATAAAATCCAACACCCATTTCTGATAAAAACTCTCAGAAAAATAGGAATAGAGGGAAATTCCTCAACATAATTAAGGACATATGTGCAAAACCAATAGCTAATTCTCAATGTACAGAGAATGAAACCATTCCTCTTGTGAGCAAGAACCAGGCAAGGATGCCCTCTGTATCACCACTTCTATTTAACATTGTATTGGAAGTCCTAGCCAGGGCAATGAGGCAAGAAATGGAACTCAAAGGTATCCAAATAGGTAAAGAAGAAGTAAAACTATCCCTATTTGCAGATATGATCCTATACATAGAAAACCCAAGAACTCAGCAAGAAACTACTGGAACTTACTGAAAGATTTAGCATAGTGGCAGGATACAAGATCAACATACAAAAATCAGCTGGATTCCTCTACACCAGCAAAGAGGTCTGTGAAAACCAAGTAATGAAATCAATACCATTTATAATAGCCACCAAAAAGATAAAATACTTGGGAATATTAGAGTTTATGCTAATGGTGGCAGAGTATTTTAGAAAAGGATAGCAATAATGTGGCATATGAAAAATGTCACTCCCTGAGCTGTAATTGCAGAAGTTATGTTTGTGAATGTCTTGGTATTTATGCTTTCATTTCAATAAAAGTAAAAAAATAATGAAATCAAAACCCAGTTCTAAATCAAAATTAGGTCACAGTTACTTTAACTATATTCTTATTCAATATGGTAAAGAAAAGAAACATCCTTAAAAGTCTAGAGAAGCATACAACTGGAATATATACTTACTGTTTCAAAAGTATTCAGTATCATCAAAGGAAGAAAAACATTAAAATAATCTTCACAATCTTGAAATCTGACAGGCACAGGTCTTGAGATAGACTGAGAAAGACTTGCTGGGGGCCCACACTGATCAAAGTTCACAAACATTTCATATTTCCATTTTAAGATCTCTTTAACGAAGGTATCAGAGATGGACTGTGATGATGAGAGAATGCTTACTGGAGAGGAAGTCGAAAATAATTTGCTTTCCCCAAATGGAAGTTTGTAAGCTTCTCTACTGGAATTATTTGGAATCTGAGAAAGAACATTGCAGAAACTCTTTCCTTCACCCACTGGCTTCTGAGACATCAGAGAGGTTGGCTGTGTTACTTTCCCAATAGACTGCCCACCAGTTGACTTATTTCTTAGTGTTGGTGGAACTGCTGAAGTATTTTCCATAGACTTTGAAAGATGAGCAATTCGTGAAGTACTACTTGAGCTAAAAATTTTAATAGTGGAAGGCCTTAAAGGTTTAGATGCAGAAAGAGGTAAGCCAGGTTTACGAAATACATCTTCATCTGTTGCTTTAGCTTCAGAGTGTCTTGAGCAGTAATCATCCTGTTTTTTTGTGATTTCAACACAATCTTTCTGCTTACACTTTTTGCTACTCAAAGATTCCAACTGAGGCAGAGTTACAGAGTCTTCTATCTGAACTGTATTTTTTCCATGAACTACTTCAATAACTTTATCAGCCTCCATTTGTGAACATATATCCATATCTTCAGGGTCATTCTGAGTTAAAAATAAATTATCGTACTCTGTATCACTGTTAGAGTCAGCCTCTCCCTCTTTCAAAGCTGCCACTTCAGACTGATGTACTATGACATCACCTCCACCTGAAGAGCAGCCTTCTGAAGCAGAAACAATTATTTCATTTGCTGGTATTCTTCCACTGAACACTACAGAATCACACTGATTCAAAAGATTAGTATCATCAGCCACCTGAGGAACACATTTTGCAGTTCTGTTTTCTGGTTCAGAAGAACTGCATTTTAATTGTTTTCCAGTATTGTTTGCAATCACATCAGTTCCTCCTTCACAAGTATGATCTAATCCATCAGATTCTGGTACAATTGTGCTAGCATTTGATGCTGCATGATGCCCTGCCCTTACAGTATCTGTACTTTCATCATCAAGAATTCCTTGTTTATTTTGTTGTGATTTGGGTTTCATCTGTCTCTGCAACTGAAAATCTCGACTGGTCAGCAGTTTATTATTTCTGACAGATAGAGTCTGAGGAGAAATTAATTTAGTCTTTTTTCGCTTATCAACTTCTCCAACAGTTTTGCCATAATCACGTAATTGAAACAAACACTCTAAAGATTGCTGAGACAACTCAAATGCCTTACGTGGAGCCTTTTTTAGACCAAGTTTTTCAACTGTTGAAGTTGGTTCAGGACACTGGCGAAATTTCTTTGGTGGAACTATAGCAGGAGTAGTCCTACAACTTATGTAATTTGGACTTTTACTTCGCCCTTTTTTTGCATCTGAATGTGTTTTCTTAGTAGTTTTAGAAACTGGGACTTTCTTAACAGGTTTTGAGCAAGTACGATGCTTTGGAGAAGACTTTTTTAGTGAAATCGTAGCAGCTTTCTGAATACTTGAATTGGGAGTGGTAGTCCTTACTTCTGTAGTTTCAAAATCACTTTCATTAAGATCTCTCTCATCAAGAATTTCAGACTGGTCCTTCTTTCTGACCGAAGATGAAGCCCTTAGGGGATCTTCAGTCAAAGGTTTTTCAAATCTTTTTCTCTTAGGTTTTACTTCAATTTCACAAAATTTCTCAACAGAAATGCTACTACTCTGTGGTTCTGCGTGTTCTTCAATACCTTCTATTTCTGTAATCATCTCTTCAGATACACTATCTCTATTACAACCCCAATCATTTGTGGAATCAGTTACATGAGTCAAAAAGGATTTTTTTTCATCCTTCTGAACTGAATTCTTGTCATCTGGTTTATGATCTTGCCAAACTGAAAACACCTCATGTGGACTTTCAAACTCAAAAATCTGAGACTCAGAGTCCTCAAACTGTGTTCTTTCCTCCTTTATTAGTTTATTTTCCACATCAGTATTAGCTTTCAAAGCATGCCGCTCTGGATATTCTTTCTCAATGCATATTTTGTCTTTTTCAATATGTTTCTCAAAACTGAGAATTTTTCGATCACCACCACCACCACCATCATCATCATCATCATCACCATCATCATCAGAATCTGAAATAACAATAATCTGTCCACGGCAAGATTTTCTGACAACAGTAAATTCATTATTTTGGTTAGATGTGAAACATCGATCGTCTTTTTCTTTTCTTTGTAGCTGAGATGAGCTTTTTTTTTTAGTTGAATCAGATGGAAACTTAATAACACTATCTTGAGCTATTAAAGACAATTTGTGGAGGTCTCTGTCTACCTGAGAATCTGTTAAGATTTCTGACTTAGGACTGATGCAAAAGGCCTGTTCTCTTGTCAAGTAAGAAGAAACCTGATCAGTAATCTTACTCATTTCCTTATCCTTTGATTCAAATACAGCCACAGTATCTTTAAAGGAAGATGTTTTCTTCACTAAAGTATTGGTCACTTCTGTAAATGAGATCATATCCTTACCATCAACACAATTTTCCTGTATCTGACAGTTATTTTCACGGGAAGAGAAAATATCTACTTTTTCATTCTTCAACTGTTTTTTTTTCAGCAATACACTACTTTGAGATTTTTGCCCTCCACTTTCATTATCATCCAGAATACTATTAGGGTCTAAAGACAGATTGTGTATGAAGCCATCTCCTTTCTGACCACCTCCTGAATCTTTTCTTGAATAAGAACGCTCAATGTTAGCTACAATCAAGTTTTCTTCTAAACTAATTACATTATTGACCAAAGTACTTTTCCGGCATTGCTTCTTTATTACATGCGATAACTTAGCACAGATTTCATCTTTCTGTGCCTTAGTTTTTGGTTTTGAGGTTTTACTGAGAGCATCATCCTTTGAAGAGAAATCTTCATTTGATGTGGACACATTTTCCAGGGAATCAATGCTAGGACCAGTCAACATACATGGTGATATTATTACTCCTCTGCCACATCCCTTTTCTGGATCTTTTCTTGAAGTACAATTCTGAGGTGTATATGCAGAGTTCTCTTTTATATACTTCTCCTTCCTTGTATTTATTTTAACTTGATCTTGAGCTCTTAAAGTAAAAAGGCTTTTACCCTGGTTGAAGCATGATTCAGCTGAGAGATGGTCTTCTAGTATTGAAACTTTTACATAGTTTTCCTCATTGTCCTCTGCCACAATGTTACTTGTTTTGATCAATATACTCTCTTCCAGTTGATATGCATCAGCCTTCATTGGTTCTTTAGAAAATGTTGGGCTAGAATTTTCCAGATAATGTGTATCTTTTTTAGACTTCCCTATATGTTCATTTTCTTCTTTACTATAAGATAGAGATGGAGGAGTTTTACATACAGAAGTCAGATCCACAGAATTACTACACTGAGGTACTTTGACTTTTATGTTTCTAATAATTTGCTTTAGACAAGTTTGTAACTCATTAGTTTCCTGACTAGTCAACTGCCAACCTAGAGATAAATTTCCTCGAAGGAATAAATTGAGCTTATCCCAGAATCGCTTACAAAGAGTTTGCTGCCCAAGTTGATAACCTTCTTTAAGGAGACTTCTAATCAGCTGAACACAAGCATATTGTACAGAGTTAGATGGCATTGAATGCAATGATAAAGATGATATCATCGCTGCTCCTTTGGCACAATTTCCAGATGATTTTTCGGAACTCCGTTCAAATGCAGTGGTAGGCAGTTTAGCACATTTTACAACAGCTTCCACCCACTGCTGGGAACTAACCCACAGCAAATGTAAACATCTTCTATTTCTATGCAGTTCAATCACTGACACCAAAATTAGAAGAAAAAATTCAGTGACTTTGTCACACACGGCATTTCTTTGGTTGAGAACATCTTTGACTTCAGAGTGCAGATGATGAATAACCTCTACTATATAAGCCACCCCTAAGTCCTTGAGATCCATGAGGGATTGAACAAAAGGGATGAACCACAGAAACGTGCTGTTATGAACACGCATGTCTTGACCAATATCTGACTGAAGCACACTGGCTAATGTTTCCATTTCTTCATACATATTAGGACAATAATCTGGGCAAATAGCTGATCGCCAACCTGAATCCTAAAATGAAAGAAATACTGACATTCAGATTTTAAAAAGTACCATTCAATAAATTTATCTTACCCCATTATAGGTATAACACACAAATTGTAAGAAAGAAAATGTATTTCTCAACTTTCCTATTTTGGTCTACTTTATATTATTTTTATTATACATACCCCTATGAAATTAAAACATAAGCTGAATTTTGAGGCTAAGCTTTCATGAAAAGATATATTCTCACCACGCTCCATGCACTCTCACTTTTCTACTCTGGTTTTCATTTCTAGACATGTTACTCCCATATCCCAACAGGTTTCTACTCTCCCTAACTGCATTTAAAAATTAATCTTCCAAATTCCATTTTCCTCCCATGCACACAATACATCTGTTCAATCAGAAGCCTTTATGTAGTAGTTGATTTAAAAGAGTTACATAATACCAGGAATTCAACTAGCTATGTAAAACATTGTCTATACAATGTAAAGGCAATATAAAATTATCTGAACTTTCAAAATATTCTATACCTTTTTTGTTTTTTCAGGATTGTAACTGTACACAATCTGGCTGCAAGTCACTATATCATCCAAGTATGACTCCGGTTCTAATTTGGTCCTTAAATATTAAAAATAAATAGAAATTACTGAAATGAAGGAAAAAAATACCCTACTGTTAAGTCAGCTGAAATAGACTTTCTCACAGAGATTATTTTTAAATTATGACACTCACTGAACTAACCTTACAGAGCTGTTCCGTATATTCTGGATCTCTCTGTTGTAGCTTACATTGTTGATAATGGTCTGGAATGCCTCAATAGGATCAATAAGTTGACCCCAGACCTTAGATCCAAGGCGATCCAGGATCACCATGAAACAGTGTAATGCTGGCCAGAAGGGGTCCACACTATCATCTGAAACACAATGGTACAACTACTGAATTATAAAACAATTTGGAAAAGGTACTAAGATATATTGAAAATTAAGCATTCTTCATCTAGGTAGCAACAACTTTGGAAGCAAAGCAGCAAGTAATTTAAAATAAAGCACTGTGAACCCAGAGAGGCACAGATTTTTAAAAGCTGGAAAATTAAAATATTTTTTCACATTTTCTCAAGCAATATTGTAATAATTTAAAATGGTAAAACAAACTGAGATAGTCTAGGCAAACATAACCTCACCTTGTTTTCCACCACTCAAACAATCTTTCCTACTCAGGTCCTTAACTCCTCCCACAACTTTACACTTCAATAATTAGAAGAAGCAGAGGGAAACAGGGAGAGAAAGAGAAACTTGCTATTTATAGCTTTCAACAAAGCCCATGATACAAGAAATTCTGTTTTAACATGACTCTGAATTGTGTTTGCCATTAGGCTAGTATAAAGGACTAAACCCCTTAGTGGGTGAGCAGAAATAAGTTGTGTTCATCCAGCCTTATCTCCACACAGCATTGCTGTTATCCAGTTTTCATCCAATTTGCAGGAATTCCCATTACTTTGAAGTTCTTACCTTCAGTCCTTCCTTTGTATCAGATATGCGGCATTTGACTGCTAACCAGAAGGCTGGTGGTTCAAACCCACCAGCCACTCCGCAGAAGGAAAATTGGGCAATCTACTTCTGTAGTGATACAACCTCAGAAATCTAAGGAGGGGTCACTATGAGTCAAATCCGACCCGATGGCACTGAATATGTAGTGGCAAGATATTATCTTACTCAAAGATCTTTAACGGCTCTTCAATGTGTCAAATAAAACCAAATCCAAACCAAACGCACAGCCATCAAGTCTATTCCGACTCACCACGACCCCCACAGGGTTTCCAAGGCTGTAACTCTTTTCAGAAGCAGACTACTTCATCTTTCTTCCACAGAGCAGCTGGTGGGCTCAAACCACCGACCTTTTGTTTTAATATTAATAGCCCAATGCTTTGACCACAGCACCAACAGATAGGGAGAGGTTTTAATCAGAAGACAGACTACTGCAACAAGGAAAATATTCCACTCAGAAATTCACAAGCATCTCAGAAACAAGCAGAAAAAGCTTTTTTTATATAAAAGGAGAAAGCAACACCTTAGCAGAAATTTTTAAAGAGAAAGTAGACAAGCCAAGGAGAAATGACCAGTTGAGCCTGACCAGAAAAGTGTCTTGCTATGTCCAGCATAAAGACCTTGGTGGTGTAGTGGTTAAGGTACTGGGCTGTTAACCAAAAGGTCAGCTGTTTGAACCCACCAAACATTCTGTGGAACAAAGATGAGGCAGTCTATAACAAGAACAGATATATGCACGCCAATGTTCATCGCAGCACTATTTACAATAGCCAAAACTTGGAAACAACCTAGATGTCCAACAACTGAGGAATGGATAACCAAACTTTGGTACATTCA